TATACGTAATATATACTTTATATATATACGTAATATAGACTTTATATATATATATACGTACACTTTATATATATACGTAATATATACTTTATATATATAAAGCTTTATATATATATAAAACTTTATATATATATATACGTAAACTTTATTTCGTCAGATTTCTCATGTTGTGTTGCAATGGTACGTATGTATAAATATATACACATATATGTTAAATTCTTACGTGCCAGTTTTCTCTTTCTTACGTTGTTACATTATACGCTGTAAATACGGATAAATGATTAGCCCTTACGTCTAATAAGAGAATGTGATTCGGCGAACGCAACGAGAATAAATAGGATAGGCGAAAACAGGGGGGGCAGAGGGAAGAGGGGGGGGGCGGGTAGCGTTCGTTGCATACTTTAGTTCAATTTTAAGTTGAGAAACGGCGAGAAATCTTAGGAGAGAGCTCTCTTGCTAAAGCAAGCACTTCTTCCTCGGGTGGAACAGAACATCGCTCCTAAGTATGTATTTTGGTTCTTCCTTTCTCCTGCTCTCTCGTTTTTCCGTCGTTTTCCGATGGGACAAGTCCTCGTTTGATCGAGTATCTGCAGAAACTTGCCGAGACAAGGACTTGTATGTATACTTTTGAACGCTAGGTCTTATTAATAGAACTGCTCCGTGTACAAATATCGTAGAAGCTGTCAGACGATATGAAGTAAGTTTCGAGGAAAGTTAGAAAGAGACCATGTATAATTTCTTTCTTCGTGCACGTAATACGAGTGAGAAACGAATGATTTTAAATAAATCGAGACACAGAGAAACACAACGGAGAGAGAAACTCGAGGATCACGCGGAGAAATGATTGTCGAACGGGCGAGAAGCGGTTGCAAACGAGAGCAAGTAAGGCGCCAAATGTAACAGAGTTAACAGAAAAACTTTAGTTCCTTCACAATTGTGAGTATTGAAATATGCACTTTATTAAGGGATTACACGCGCAATGACAAAGAATCCAATGTGTGTTTCGATGTATAATACGGATAAGAAGATCTGTCTCTATCTGGAAGATAAGATAAAAATAATTCGTTTCTTTCTTAGTAACTCTTTCGCGATTATATAAATACTATCGATAAGAAGTACTTCCTCTCTTACGAAGGATCTTGGTCTTTCGATACACGTATGTACATATATAACCTGAGCTGAGAGAAAAATAAAAATGGAATGTATTTTTAAAACTTCATTTTTTAATAATAATATAACAATATTCGGTTAAATATTCATGAACATCAACATACAGTGTCCTTATCTACGTTACAAATCGTTAAGAGAAAAACGAAGTCTTTTTTTTTTCCTTTTTTTTTTCGTTTACGTTCAAGAGTACAAAACTGTAGCAAAAACCTAAATTCACTTTTCCCTCTCCGAGTGGACATCGTGAGGCTAGCTTTCACACATCTAAACCGAACATATATATTTTACAAAACGCGTTTACAAAAGGAATAGGCGAACACGGGGGCAAACAAGACGTTAACTAAAGTTTTTCCTAAAAGTCACTCTGCGAACGGTCTTTACAACAAGAGATACAAAGAGGTATCTGAATGGCGACGTTGACAGTGTCTTTTCTTTCCATTTCCACGTTTGTCGCGTTCAGCGAGAACGACGAGAATCCCACCGACAAAGAAAATAAATAAAGGAAAGCGCATCACATATCATTAAATATTGTACATTTTTATCGTGACCGATGCAGTGTTGGATCAGGATCCGATCAGGGCTCGATCGAGAGAGAAGTGTTCTCTCACATTTTTTTGCCCCTGCTCGAGGCTATTTTCCCGGGGGAAAAGAAAAAGAGACTGGGATGAAGAATCTGGGTGTGTTCTGTGTGTATTCTTTCTTAATAATTCTTTTTTTTTTTTCTTCTTCTTCATCTTCTTCTTCTTCATCTTCCTTCTTTACCTGGGGGTAGGATAAATGTTACACTTGCGTCTCATTAATCTTTAATTAGATAATCAATTCACTAGTTTTACGAAATGTCATAATAAAAAGTAGTACTCTATAGTTGGTATAGTGGTATCTCAATAATAATAGCGTTAATAATAATTACGTTCCATAGTTTTTTTTTTGTTTGCAGTTATCGTCTAGCGAATAATTAATTAATTAATGACTTCACTTCGCGATATAATCTATATTGGTGTTTAATAATATAAAAAAGAAAACAAATCGTATAATATATATTTATATATAGCGTTGTATCATTCGCTTTTCGTTACAATAATAAATTGCCCACGAACGCCGATGTACCGACATGTCCGACGTACAAAAAACCACTTCCGTTTCGTTTTCGCTCCTCCCTCTCCCTCTCTCTCTCTCTTTCTATCGTCTACGGAAGCGATTTTTCGCGAATTTACCGAACTCCGTCTCCTTCTCGTTGTTCGAACACACGTATCTATTTTTTTTTTTTTTTTTTTTTTTTTACATTTTGCAACCACGTATTCGAACCAGCATCTCTTTTTAATCCGTTGCATGCTCGCGCACACGCAAGTGAATCCGATTCATGGTTAGTTGTCAGCTTTGTTAATTTAATTAAGTGATTGATTAATCAGTGATAAATCAATGGATAAAAATAAATCGTGTAAATCGCGATCGTCGGGTTGGCACATCGCAGCGTTCGAACGTCCGCAATTAAGGGAGTTCACTACCAAAAAAGGTATACCACTTTCAGATTTACAACACTGCCCTAAACACAGCCATACTAAGCCAAATACTTTTGGGTTTTCGTCGTTTACGATTAC